GCATTTTTCAAACTAGAAATGTGGGTGGAGTAAGACTCTGGTAGGGGTGACTTGTTCTTTAAGTCTGACTATCAGGCCATGTTCAATGTATCAATATCAAGTAGGTAATCCTTCAAAATGTATATTTCCCCTTAGTCCTAATTCTGGTCTCTACCACACAACAAATATTTCACATGAGCCTAGAGTGCATACCGACGAGCGAGAGGTGTCAATCTACGGCACTACGGGGTAACACTAGAAGTTTGCAGGGGAGCAAAAAAAAAAAAACTAATGCAATTCTTGATTCTTCTAATGCCTTCTTCTTATCTAAACAGTTTAAAAGTCCTTATGTAAAACTCAGCATGTGACATTTACAGCAGTTGAGTAGAATCTACGTTGGAGACACTTTAGTAGACTGAAGGAGCTATTTTAACCAACAATGGCTCAAAACTGATGAAGAGTTGACAAAGTTTCTGTTGGACGGGTAAATACCAAATTGTTTATTGTATTTTAAAGATTTGTAACCAAAATTCTAAAAAGAATAATATGGCGCTAGCTTAATGCTATCTTGACCTGCATTGATTTAACGTCCATGCATTAACTTAAAACCTAATATGGAAGTGGGGGGAGGGGAACGATAATAGATTTATCTTTTGTGTATTGAAGCTAAGTGATCAGCGTTGCTTTTAACCTTGCGCTACATTGGACTGTTGACTTGGCTTTAATAGTTAGGCGGAAAGGTGCGAGCCTTTTACCCAGCCAAGTCACCCATGAACTTCTCCAACAGGTAATTGTGAAAAGAACAGGAGCCAGGAGAGAGTGAAAGAAGAATGTAGACAATGTAGTGAGTGAGCTTATAGAAATCTTTGAAGATGTGATGCTGAAGATACAGTTTAAGAAATTAAAGCCTCAAAAATTAAAGTGGGGACTACTCTTATCTCCTCAGAATGAAAAACCACAGGTTTAAATCCCACTGTCAATCTTATGTGTTGGGTGTTTTCTGCATAAGTGGGTTTTCTTCAGGATCCTCTGATTTATCCCAGCATCTCAAAATGTGGTTATTAGGCAACTAGGAGATCCAAATTCCCCCCCAAAAATGCAAACTGATGCAGACAAATGGTGTGCCATTTATCCTCCTATTAGGATGAACATATCCACACACATATGCAATTCTCTCTGGACACAGACACATTCACACAACTAATAAGGCGGGTTTGTTGAGAGCCAAAGAAGAGAAGAACTCAGAGACTGTGAAAAGACTCCTCTCTTTGCACTCCTGCCAAGGAGAAGCTGCGTTATTACATAACACTCTGAGGGGTTTAGCAGCTCACATGCTTTTAAGAAAGAAGCACATGTTCCAGCACACCTGAAGTCTTATTGCAAGCTGGGAGAAGCCTGACATGAGATGAAGGCTTGTAACCCAAGGCAGCAATGGCAGAGGAGGAATAATTAGCAGGGAAATGCTGAGAAAGTAAATTGTCATTCATAATTATATCTGTTTACTTACTCGGTTGCTAATGATGCCTTGAAAACAGGTTTTATTTATTTATGTATTTATTTTAGAAATGTTTGCTACCGCAAATTAGAAACCTGCAATTGTAGACGGAGAGCTTGGTGCTACATAGTGGTTTACAAAGTCAGGGTCAAGCACCCGATGAAAAAGCATCCACATATTTTTTCCATTAGTTTTACAAAGTTGAAATGCATTGTTTGCAAGTGGCTGAAAATTTCAGTATGAATATAGGAACTAATTTTATTTTATACCTTGGTTTAAAGCTACAACGGCAAATTTGGAAGACTAATTAGCTAAAAATATTTTTCCATGCTGCTTTACAATATTCTAACTTAGTATAGCTAAATTTAGTGTGGAGATTTAAAAAAAGAAAAAAATGAAGAAAGTGGTTATCTCGCATTAGTCAAAAAAGCGACACCACTGACACGTTTCAGAGCAAAAACAACTATTAGACCATCCCGCTGTCGGTCTCGCCAAACCGCCACACTTCCCTGGGTCCTCCACTTCTAAACGCACTCGTGTTTAGAAACAGAATACCACTGCTACCACTTCAACTTTAGGACCCAAAAAGATAAATACCATTTGAAGTCACAAATAACAAGACATTTGGACATAAAACAATGGCGACTGGTGTTTAGCACTGTCTCGTTTCCTCGGGCATCACGGGCTTCTGGTTTCGGCAGAAGCGCCTCAGTGAAGATCCCAGAGGGGCAGGGTGAGTGTTCCGTCACCGTATTTACGTTCAAAACTTAGCTCTTTTTGTAGATTTGCTATAGCAGCGTTAATCTTGCTACAGCTGCACCCAGGGTGTGAGTGTGTGTGCATGGCTGAATGACTGATTGTGTTGTAAAGTGCCTTGGGGGGTTCTAGAACTCTAGAAGGCGCTAAATCAAATAAAAGTCATTTACAGCACAGGCCATTTACCCTTTGACTGTAAAAAGAGCTCTTTGACCTCTATATGTTAGTGTTCATTCAGACGTTATTGATGTCGTGGGTCTGTCATGGTTTGGGAAGTTTGGCTCCTATCTAATATGCTTTCCCAGTTGTCCTTCCTTTTTGGTGCACATGTGGCTTTTGTTCTCTTGGTTCCAGAATTTATCAAGCTGCGGTTTGCTGCTGCTGGTGATAAATTGTGGCTGATTATACACACATGTGGCTCGTTATCTTTAGTCTGTAAATGAAAGAAAATGATATATGTTAATCGTAAATGTGAAAATAACACAGCTGCAGAAAGCTGGACAAAACAAAGTATTGTAAATGAAGACCTAAACTAACATTGGTATCTTAATATCTGCAAGTCCTAAAAACTAGGTGGTAAAGGGTATGATCACACCCAGATAATGAATGTGTGTACAAATCATGAAAACATGTTATGTGGTGATTTTTAACCCTCTGGAGGCAGGCGTTGCAGATTTGCAACGTTAAAACCTACCTACCTGGTTACTCCACATATGTATTTCATGAGCATTTTTTAACTCAGAAGTCCCCCTGAAGGACTTTGTTGTTCATCCTTTTATCAAAACTTATTTTGAGCCTGAGAGGGTTAAAATGTGGTTGTGCCTTATATCTCTCTTAGCCTTACTCATATGTTGGCATACTCGTTACAGAGCAGGGCATACCGCTGAGCTGAGTAAAAGACATATTCAAGAATTCTGATTAATCTCCTCTGTCTGTCCTGGAGTTCTCCAGTATTCACTTGTCTCTCCCACTCAGACTCAAATAATGTTTTTTAGGGTCAAGTCGAAGTTATCAGCAGAGCTCCACATTGTCCTTGTCATCTTGTCATACTGCATTTTTCTGGAATGCAGCTCCTTTTCATTGAAAAAAACTGATAGTTTGCAGGTAATATATATATATATATATATATATATATATATATATATATATACACATATATAGCAAGGAGAATAATATTTGACACATCAGGATTTTATCAGCAGTGGTGTTATTAGTTGGCTCTTTACAAGACATTTGCACCAGATGTTGCCATCAAGCCAAATATCGAATTCATACAAATAAATCAGAACATGTACAAGTTGAGTCATAATAACTAAAGTGAAATAACACAGGGAGAAGGTATTAAACAGACATTATATTAAACTTTGTAGAAAAGCCTTTGTTGGTGATTACAGCTTATAGACACCTCTTGTATGGTGAGACCAGTCTTCTGTGTTGCTCAGGACTGATTCTGGCCCATTCTTCCACACAAAGCTCTTTAAATCTTGAAGATTCTTTGGGCCTCTTTTATGAACTTTGATCTTCGGTGGGATTTATGTGGCTTAGGTCAGGTTGAGTGGGCCATTCAAGCAACTTGATGTTCTTTCTTTGAAACCAGTTCTTTGTTTCCTTGGCCTTGTGTTTGGGATCATTGTCTTACTGAAATGTCCACCCTCTTTTCATTTTCAGCTTTCTGGTAGATGACAGAAGATTTTTATCCAGAATGTCCCGGTATATTTCTCCATTCAGCCATATGAAGTCTGGTGGTACCCCTTGGTGAAAAGCAGCCCCACACCATAATACTTCCACCTTCAGACTTAACTGTTGGTATGGTGTTCTAATGGTGGTGATCAGTGCCATTTCTTCTCCAAACATGATGTTTGAAATGACAGCCAACAAGTTCCATTTTGACCATATTATAGTCTCCCAGAAATCAACAGGCTTCTCCAAATGCTGTTTTGCAACTTTTAGCTAAACCTCAACATGCTTTTTGTCCAATAATGGAGCGTTGCCATGGCAGTTCAGGGCATTGCTTATAGTTTTCTTTGAAACAACAGTACCTGCTGATGCAAGGTCTTCCTGAAGTTCTGCCTGAGTGGTTTTTGGCACTTGGAGATCTCTCCTGATTATTCTTTGGACTCCTCAGACAGGAATCTTACGTGGACCACCTGATCATGGTCGGTTTGTGGTGAACTGATGCTCTTTCCATTTCCAGATACTGTCCTTCACATTGCTCACGGGAACATTCAGTATTCTGGAAATGCATCTATAACCCTTCCCATCAGAATTATTGTCAACGATAAGATTACGACGATTTTGAGAACATTCTTTACTTTTGCTCATCATGAAGTCTTTCCTGTGTGCCTCCTGGGTAACGAGAAGCCTTTATAGGCCGTCAATCAGAACTAAAGCAGCTGGTATCTATTAAGACTGATAGGAGACAGGATCGCAGGTGATCTCATTGCTTTCTATTCCATTTTGCAGACAGTACATTGACTTAGAAGACATTTTAAATGTTTACTGATTAAAATATAATGTGTCAAAAACATATTCTCCCCCGCTGCATAGAGGTGATGTTAAAGTCTATAAAATAATGTTTTTATAAATTTCAGTGGAATTTTTACAATGATCTACCAGCATTAGTGGTCATCTCAATTTCATGTGCGTTCATTCAAGTACTGTCCACAGCGGATTTGTTGTTTCTGCATAGCTTCACATGAAATTGTCTGAACCTTCATTTTCAAATCTGAACGTGTCAACCTGCATCAAACACACAGAGTCAAACACAGCATTCATTTGTTTTCTTTTTATTTAAAGACTAATGCAGAGAATCAGATTTTACAGGGCCGTATCATAACCAAAATAAACAAAAGAAAACATTTACAGGTTTACCAATTCATCTACAGCAACCACAACCCTTTTTCTGTATCATCAGACTACCAGCATCACGTACTGTACGTGGATATGTGAGCTTTGTGTGCAGTTTGTGTGTTCTTTGACGAACACAGTATTGTCCCAATTTATCTCACCCTTATCAACATTTGTGCTTTAGAAAATGTTTTTTTTAATCTTTTTTTTCTTGTTTGTTTTGTTTTCAGTGAAAATCTGAACATATTGCGCTTGTTAAAAATACAAGAAAAAAACAAAATAACTCCAGTTGGTATCTAGAAATAATCAAAGATTTAGTGTTGGAAAGCAGGTGCTGATGAGAACTGCAACGGGCCTGTAGCTGTGTGATATTTACATATTTGAAATGCCTGTGAGGGTGGAGATAAAAGTAGGAAGCTCATGACTGCACTGTGTTTCGTTTTTCACATTCTGGAGCATTAAATGTAGCAAAAACCAAATCTGGCTGGAAAAATATTTTGAAATGTTTTTTTTCTTTTTTGACAAAAGAGGATAAGACTTCCAATGGAAATCTGCGGTAGAAAATTCACATTTACGCTGTCGAAACTCTCTGGTCTGGTGCACATTATATTATCATTCAGCTTTGGGAAATACAAAACAAAGTCAATGATCCTTTAAGCAAAGCGACATTTTCACCTTCTACCATTTTCGTAATGACTAACAAGCTTAAGGACTGAATGGAGTGAAAAAAGCAATAGCAAGGTTATCTTGTTCTTAGCTCCTGTTTTTTTTTTCATTCATTCACTTTATTGCATGACCCCGGAGAAAAAGTGCAATCAACAATGAAAGCAGTTCTCCCTTCAACCACTGGCAAATCCAAAGCTCAAACAAAAAAGATAATCCAGTGTTTTCTTTGATGTCACCCTGTATGCCCATTGTTCGAAAGTGGCGGTGGAAGGGGGCAGGGAGCTAACTGATGCACAACTGATTCAAAAAGTCAAGCTAATTTCTTTCTTTTGCCTTTTATGTTTATAAACCTAAAGCTCAATGGTCATGAAAAGGTCGGTGATCTGGTTAAAAGCTGTCCTTGCATAGCACGAAGCTGACTATATAAATGTAATGTTATTGTTCTCTTACATGTGCAAAATGCATAACAATAGGTTCATAATACAAACAATATTCATCATCATCTTAGCTAACATCTTTAATTATAGAATTAAAACTGTATGCATTATGTATTTTACATAAGTATATATACTTTTCTTCATGATAAACGTAAATACAATAGTTTAAAATCCAAACATCTTTATACAACTCTTTGCCCTGACCTTTACAAATCCTTGAATCTCTCTGCTTGTGGATGAGGTGGCTGTGAACAGTGGACTGCTTGCATATGCTCAATAATACGACTTCCAATGGGAGATATTGGTCATCATGGTGAAAAGAATTATTCTAAAGACACAAGCATTGATCTGTTTTTTAGTTTGTTGCAGCCAAAGCATGATTCATTGCACAGATGAAGCCCCACAGTTCTAATGAGTCTTGACCTGTTCAGTGCCGCCTTAAACATATTCAGCAATCAGTCACTCTGGGAAACTTTCTCAAACCAAACGGAAGCTGAAGACTCAAAATGCAAAGCACAACGCAATGACCGACGTCGTTAACCCGTGGGATCGAGTCGAATTCTAAGTCCAGCACGCACAAAGAACTGCTAAGTACAGATGGGTCAGTGTAAAGCTACAATGAACATAACCCCAGACTGAGTGTCAAGTTCAGGTCCCAAGAAAAGCCCTTGCTAATTTATATTGCTACATTGACATAATTTAAAGTGGACTGTTTAGAAACCTTGAAAAGTCACATCACAAAAACTGAAGCTTTAGTTCCCCCTTAAAGTGTGTGTTCTTGTTTTAAAGAAGAAAAAAGAAGCAAGCAACGTCAAAGACCACAAAAAGAGCATTTCTTTCACCTTGGTTTTCTGTTATCGGAAGAGGGATTGACATCATGCTACAAAAATATATTCATCTTCATCACGACCTTTGAACTACAAGACAAGTCCTCTGTGTGTAACACAGCACCGGCTAACCTATGATTACAGTGCCACTTCAGCTAAGCTTTGTTTTTCACGTTGTCTCCTTCAGTCTCCGTCTCTCTCTGTTGCTCACCAACAAATGACTGCAAACGGGCATGAGTTACTCAAGGCAGTGTAGCTGGTACTTTCTGAGTGTTATGTCTCAATATTCAACCCAGTGACTACATGAACTATGATGAACATGAACGGGGTGGGGGCACAGTAGGATGGAGAATACAGACGTGCCATCAATCACCCAACGTAGCCTCAATTCTGAAAATGGAAAAGGCACTTCTCCTCCGTCTCAACGTGCCCCACCACTGTACTTTCCTTAAATGCTGTTCTAAGTAAAGGAGATCCCAGTGTACGTGGGTAAAAGGCTGAAAGAAATGAAGAATTCAGAAAATAACCAACAGATTACGGAATTTTCACAAATCTAAAATGCACTCAAAGATTGAAAATGGTTTTACATTCTTGCTCAGCCAATCTCAGCGTATCGAAGTCCTATTCGCTGCTTCTGATGCCGTCTGCGTGTGCACAGACACACAGCTGAATAACATTTAACCGGAGTGTGAAAGATGTTTTTGGTGGAATGTTAACTCAGTGAGAAACAGTCAGTTAAGCATGAATTATATAGCTTCTATTTGTTTAAAGCCTTTTTTTTTATATAAAGAAACCAAATGAAAAGAAATGTGAAAAATCAAGAATTTACCAACCGGGGATTCAGATAACACCCTCTTTTGTTACACTTCTTTTCAAAGCTTATTCAAAATAAATACATCTCTAACACCTAATAGTATTTACAAAGCAGTGAATGGAAATTAATATATTCTCAATGCAGAGCACAGGGGTGATGGACCTTTATGTGTTTTGATCCCTAAATGAACAGCGTTCATTGAGACATGTTTTATTGCTATTGCAGAAACCATAAAATATATTTATAGTATTTCCCCTAAAGAATGACATATTCTAATAGACATTCTACAAAGAATGGAAGATATTTTTAAAAACAATTGAAGAAAAATGAAAAGAATCAGCGTTAGCACTGGTGACATCAAACGAACCAATAGGCCATCAGTCAATGCTGCCTTGAATGTGAGTAAATAAATAAATATAAATAATAAAATGTCCTGCCCATGCATATTCACAAGTGCCTTAGAGAGATTTTAAAGGAAAAATAAAAAGACACTCAAACAAGAAAACAAACACTGAAACAACCGTCCCTTGACACATTTGGGCTCTGTAAAGTTGTAGAATAGTCTCTTGGCTAAATATATATAGTAGCATTGTTTTTGTACCATCATCTTAGACCTGAACAACACCCCTTTCAAAAGTTTGTGATAAATTCTTTTTCCTGTTTTGTATCTTTTTTTTTTCCCCCCAAATTCTAAGAAATTTAGGTTACCATAGAAGCAATGTAACAACTGGGCTTTGAAACCAGAATGAATGCAATGTTTATCTCAAAATAAACCCTTTTTTTGTGTATGTAAAACAAATAAGAAAAGGAAATGAAACAAGATAAAATTGAAAAGAGATGAAACATGGATTAGGTTGGAACCATCCCCTGTAATTTGGGCTTCTTATTCAAGTAGGTTGCCCAGTAGACCAAGTTAAATGTTCCAAAGAGCAGAGGGAAGGCTATTCTGGCAATCCTGTCAATCTTGCTCACACTGTTAAAGGTCTTCTTTGCCTCTGGAGGCTTGGGTTTGGGCTCTTCCTTGGGCTCGTCTGGGGGTGGTGGGGCACTTTTTGCAATTGTGGCCAATCCGGGGTTCCTAGCAGGATTAGGGGCGAAAGGTGTAGCAGTGGCAGTTGGATAGGCTGTAGTGTTGTTCTTCTTGAGGAGAGACTCCTTCTTCTTCTTTTGCTGATTACAATATCGAAAAAAGTAGAAGAAGAAGAGGAAGGGTGAAATACAAAAAATCCAGTGGATGAACAATTACCACAAAACTGGTCTAATTCTGAGTTATCCAAGAATATTTATTCATTTAAAGCAGCTGGAGAATTGTGAGCGTGCTAGATACAGCATTCAGATTGGTAAAACAAAAATTTAACTATTTTATTTTTGACAATCTGGAGGTAAAAGCTACTGCTTTTCAGTTAAGTGCAACCCTTCACTGCAAAACATGATTTCTAAGTAAGAATAAAAAACCCTCTTTTTTTAGACACATTATCGAATTTTTTTGTCTTAAAAATTCTTGTCTTGTTTTCAGAAAAAAGAAAAATCTGCCAGTGTGGTAAGCAAATTTTGCTTGGCTGGAATTATTAAAACTAGTTAATAAATCTAACTAGATTCTTATTATAGTTTTAAAAGTGTTGAACACTTGTTTAATCAATACTTTAGCAGCAGTCTCTAGTAGGAATGAATGCCTTGGAAGTCGTACTCTGGGAAAGGAAAACACCTATGCAGCATTTTCAGGAAATGGAAGTGAGCCACGTCACAGCTGAGCTTCTGATGGCAGTTTTGCCTCAGACTGGATAACAGCAACACAACTCTACCACTGACTTACAACATTGATGTTTTATCTCCACTGATAACACAAGCATGGAGAAGCTTCTTCCATGTGTAGGAGTTGCTAATGCTAATGGTTAGCTTCTACTGGCCGAGGCGTTTGCTGATGTTTCCTGGATACTACACCAACAACAGCCTTCTTTGTCGTGAGTCCAGATGGGTGGGAATCAAAGTCGCAGTATCGTGACAAGTGTTTTGCTGACTTTAATGAGCCACAGCCATGAATAGGATCCCTCATGAAGTTATTACTTTACACCAGAAGATAGTGGAGATGTGTAACTTGAGCAACACTTACCCCAAAATTCCACTATCTCCAATCCGCTCCGCCCCCGCCGCCGCTCGCTTCTGGACTCAAATTATACTGTACCCACTCTACAATGGCTCTGCTCCGGTGCGGAGACCTGAGGTGCGCAAACAGGCATGCGCTGGATTTTCGAGATCTTGCGATACAGTCCGAGCAATAAACGCGGAAGTTAGATCCAAACACCCGTTGTGTGGGAGAAGCATCAAAATGAACTGTTTAATCTGCCCATCATTTGTGTTGAGAGATCAGCCGTGTTTGGATCAACAAAGTGTGACTACTTTGATAGTGGAAACTTTATTTATGGCTTACTTTTGTGCATTTAAAGTTCAACCGCCATTGATAGTTGTTAAAAGTTGTTAAACCTGTGCGTATGAACAAAAAACGCTTTTTGTTTATCGATTTATTGTGAAATAACGGAAGTTGTGCTTGCTCCTTTTCCTGTTGGGCAGTTGTGGTTGCTGTCCATTGACTGTGGAGGTGCTCTGGCGTCCGGCAAAAATAGAATCAACCCTATTTTTGCTGGATGGAGGAACGGCGGGAGGCGCACTGCGTCGCACGGCCTCAGTAGTGGAACAGCTCTGATTGACTACAACGGGACCATTTTTGCTGCGGAGTTCGTGCCGGAGCGGAGCGGAGCTCCGGGGAGCGGAGATAGTGGAATTTTTGGGTTATGGGTGTGTTTATATGAAAAATTTCAGAGTGTGTGACTTCCTGTCTAGTTCTATGGTAACTGCGGTAATTGTCATGATCCAGAAGCGGCTCTCCGCCAAAAAAGAACCCGAGCTCATCTGTAGTGGCACGGCATGCCGCTTCTGGGAAAGTACTTGAAAATTTCTGCGTCGCAGCTGGTTTGAATCACCCCCATAATCTATAACGGATTCTATTTCAAGCAGTGACGTTCTGTTGCTGTTCAGCGCTGCTGATGCTTCCATTATCTAATACTGAGCTGTTAATCTGATCGTTACCTTAGTTTTACTGATTGACAGTAAGTCTTTCTTTCTTTCAAATCTGATTAAATCTTTTGCAGATATGATATATTTTAATACTGTGAAAGATGCATTTCTTTGATTTGTTGTATTGATTTGTATTTGATTTCAGTCATTTTAAAACATTTTTCACTAGTGTATTACTATTAAGAGCTATGTTGTACAGTATAGCGTTTTTGCTGCTTGTGCACCTTAATAGAATTGGATCTTTGGTATACGTATTGGCAATAAACCACTGATGCCCAACCTACCTTCTCAGGTACCACACTTTTTCCATCCCAAGCATAACCCCTCTTGGTGAAGTAGTTGACTGTAGCAAACTCAATGAGGGCCGAGAAGACAAAGGCGTAGCAGACAGCAATGAACCAGTCCATAGCTGTGGCATAGGCCACTTTAGGAAGAGAGTTCCTGGCGCTGATGCTGAGAGTAGTCATTGTCAGGACCGTGGTAACTCCTGCATAACAGAGAAAAAGATAAAGTTACTTTCCATTATATTCATCTTTACTTTATCCTTTATTCTTTAAGCTAAGCCTTTTTGCCTTTTTCATTTAGAACACTGTTTGAAGATTTACAATGACAGCAAATGCAGTAAAGTCATTGTAAAAATCTGAATCTGTGATGCATTTCTCATCATATGAAACTGGAAATATTGTAAAAATATGTGTTTACTTTAAATTCAAGTACATTTTTTGGCAACTCTCAAAGCATGGTATACTATGAACATGAAAAAGTATTTTAATAATCATATTAAAGTCATTGTATTTACAATCTAAGCAGCAGAAATGTCTTAGACATTTTAAAAATGACTAATAGTTCTTAAAATTGATGTTGACTCGTTATACTGCTGAGGACTTCAGCAGCAAAACCACGTCTTGTCTCTATTTTTTTAAATAAACTGTTTTCAGAGATACAATAAATTCTATCCATCCATTTTGTTCACAGAGGTATAATCCACAAGGAAAACCCAAACATATCATAAATAATAGAAAACCTCTTTAGTCCAAAATATCTTACATGGTATGATGGATCAGAATAGGTTGACAAAAGCTGCACTCTGTCAGCCTACAAACACAATTTTCAGTTCAGCTAGCTCACCCAGTGAGAGCTGTGATAAGACACTGATAACCAGAAGAGTAACTGGGTCATAGCAAATCTAATAATGCACTGCTCATATTGGCTTGTGCAGATGTTTACACACCAAGAAAAATTGGTCCCAGCTACACAGAACCCTGATTCCATTTGGACTTGGATGAAGAACAGCTGGTTTGTGGATTAACTAATAAAGGCAGACGTTATCCTTCCACACAAATGATTTATGCAGACATGGCACTAAAAATAGAGATGTAAGAATATGTTGATGCACTGAAATATTGTGAAACTTTGTGTTATGACACTGAATCGATATTTAAAAGCACAGTATTGATTGTTTTAATAGAGAATTTACATTTCGACATTTACCGTTTTTGTGTGATGCAAAACAAACTCCAACTGCTAGGTGGCAGCAGTTCTTATTGCCTTCATTTTCACAACTTAATGAGATCTCCCGATAACACTGGATGTGTCTTGGAAGCGTCCTACCTGAGTTTCCAAATCAGTGAAATCTTAATAATTAAACATATCGTCTGGCTTTAAGTATCCCAATATATCGTATCGTCTCTGCTGTATTATCATATATATCGTATCGCCAGATTCTTGCCAAAACCCACTCCTACCACAAAATAATTAATGATACATATTTATGTATGTGTGTGTATTTATTTCCTTATATTCTGTGCTTATTATTGATTTATTTTTAAATGTGAGAGCAATATAAATTGTCTTTTTACGTCGAGTTTTTTTTTGTGTGATTACAATATGAATAAATGAATACCAACAGACAGATACATGTACAGAAGTGTTTTCCTCTCTGAATGAAACTAAAGGGAAAACACAATACCACTCAGACAACATACATGTACATATAGATTAATACTGTATTTTACTACGAGTATTCTGATGGATACAACCTATCTGTTGGTGCAGTATTCACCTCCGTTATTCCCTATTTGCCTTTTTTGAAATTTATGAATGCAAAACACACACAAAAAAAGACATCTAAAAAAATCTGAACTCAGAACAAATACTGACATTATTTACAGCACACTAATTGCAAACGCTTCACAATGACAAAGACGTGTCAAATAAAGGGCACATGCATTAGCAAGGAATAATAGTTGACCCAGAAAAATAAATCCCCAACAACATGATTGTATTCTTCCACTGACACACACACACAAACACACACACACACACACACACGCACACACACACACGCACACACACACACGCGCGCACACACACACAGTTGGTGCAATTGTTCCCACCACTTATAATATGCAAAAGTAGCTGCTAAGTTCGTGTTTGCATCTCTCAGAAATTCTCTTTTTACTCCCTCCTTATTTCTAATGAAATTTTAAGTGATGAATCACAAGCTCCTCTTCCTCCCACTCTTTTTTCACATCGTTCTGCAGACTAGCTGCTGTAGCTAGAACTCATAAGTGAATAAACTCATCTGTTGAAGAACTAAAATATAAATGTCCACAACCAAGCATGACACATTGAATGGGCTATTCATGCACTGATTATTGTTCTGAAATTACATAATGAGAAAAATGCATTTATTTTAAATGTGACATCTTTAATATCAATCTGCTATGATTACATATTCACCTACATCATGGTTACGTTTCACTCATAAACACTGTACAGTCCACATTCATGAATGTGTAAATCTACTGGAGGCAGTAGTGTGCTATCATATTTTAAAGCATTTTAGACTGGACCTCTAATATAGAGGCATCACTGCTTCTGACTTCGACTCCTTTGGAGAACTGCCAGAGAAAAGTGATTTAGCCAGCAATCATGTGTGGTTATGGCAACAGCAAGCGCTTTAGCACAAAAGAGCACCACCTAACGTCCACTGCATCTTAACTAGGAATCTGGAGGCGTAGGATGGAGGCAAAGAATAAAAGGTCACATGAGTGCAGCCTCATACATCACATTGTTATAGGTAACCTAAATACATCTGTAATGTGAGGGTGAAGCCCTATATGTTTGTGGTGATATATGGAGTAAAGCGAAATAAAGGGGTCAAGGTTAGTAATGAAAGGTGGGTGACATGTAGGTAACAACTGAATGGAGTCATTAGGTAACCTTTTCTTGCTGCAAGGGCAACAAATGCTGACAATTTGTCTAAGCTGGCAGCTCATCTGGGATTTACTGAAGTCCATTGATGTGGTGTGCCGGCCATAGTAATGTTTGACAAAGAAACCAAATGTTTGTCCCAAACTCAAAGTCCACGTACGGATTTAAGAGATATGGTGGTGCCTTAGAACTATTTTAACTTCACCATCCTTGTAATTTAAATCTCTTTAAAGATTAGAACTCTGACATTTGAAGATTTCTTTCTTACTTTCTTCTTTTTGAGTTTGGTACCAACACATTGCAGTTAGGTAAAGGTGGTGATTTGGTTTTAAAGGGGACATTTTATGACTTTTTTTTGTCAAATTGTAACAGTTCAATGGTTGATACCAAAACATCTCCATGAAGTTCTTTGCAATAAATCCCTCTCACAATTTCAGCTGTTTTATTCTTGCCATTTTCAGTACCTTCCAGAATAAGCCAGCTTGTTTCACTTTTAGAAAACAAGCTGGAGCTAGCTGTGCCTACCCACTCCCTACTCAGGCTGCTATAAGCTGAGAAGTTCTGAAATGTCTGGGAGGGGCTCATAGTAGAGCTGCTGCTTCTCCAGCAGCAGCTCTTTTGTACGTGAGAAGTGGTTCTATTTTACCTTTCCCATTTGTGACATCACAAACAGGGACTTTTTGAAACAACTTATATTAGGCACATGATTCCAACAACCAAACCCTGAGTATTTATGGAGGCAGAAGAGACCCCCAGACCTGCCAACCTGTATGCATTTTGCGTAGCCAGTACGCGATTTGGCATCTATTTACGCTGGTATGACTCACCTCTCTAAACTACGCAAAAAGCTGTGGATATGTGAGTTGAGTTCTGTGGAAACACGACTCAGCAGCGTGGTGAAGAAGTTTAAGCCAATCATCGTAGAAAAGCAGAGAAAAACTATCCTGCCTAACCTATAGCGTAACACTCCCACCCCCCTCCTCCCTGCTTCATCCTGCCCTCTGCTAAACTGTGTGTGTGTGTGTGTGTGTGTGTGTGTGTGTGTGTGTGTGTGTGTGTGCGTGCGTGTGTGCGTGCACATGTATGTGTCAGTGGGCCAGACCGGCCATCTTTTGGTGAATGTGAACGCGTAACGTTACTTTCACTGTTGAATATTCAAGCCGAAATCTGGGTGAAAAAATAAAAAATCTGCGACTAAAGAGAAAGAGGCAGCTGTGTATCTGTGGTGTGTGTGTGTGTGTGTGTGTGTGTTTTCCTTTATCCATTGCAGATAGATTTGGCCTGAATATAAGGAGGAATGTGATTATTTATACAGTTTAAAAATGCAGCCATTTTTTTTCGCAGCTCATTTTGCAACTCATGCTATGGCAGATGAGTGAGAAGCAGACAGGGAGGGAATGGTTAGCAGACCTGCCAAAAAGAAGAGGGTCCATGTGTGTCAGAAGTTTTTTTCCTAATATCAAGAACAGTTGCCATGCTTGCGACCTCACCATGCATTTTGCACAATCTGCAATTATGATGTGGACATAAGCCAACAGGGAGCTGCAGGTAATTATTAAATTAGCCCTGGTGATGTGTGCATATGTGCTTTAAGCCAATTCAATATTACATTCTTGAGAACAGAAACACCTACTGATATTTACAAAATAAATATTTACCATTAAATACATACAAATGTTTTTTATTAATTTGTATTGAAATAATTTAATGCAAGTACCTTCTATAAGCGCACATATTATACAAGGAAACTTTAGAGTTTTACTGTTTAATATTAAAATACATGATACTTTGGAGTCAGGTCAAACTGTAAGTCTACAACCTTACTAGTCAAAATAAGAACTATGAGCAAGTATGTGTGTGTGTGTATAACATTTTCCATCCAGTGAATGGGGAGATTACAGCGTGAAAAGCAATGGAGTTGCAAAAGTCCGCGAAAAAACGACGCACAAGTGGCACTCAAAAAATTTTGACAAGGTTGGCAGGTCTGAGACCCACATGATCAAAAAGGTGCAAAAGATGAGTTTTGCATAAAATGCCCCCTTTAAATAATCTAGTTCACAGGGCTGCACCTTATCAGAGCCCCTTAGACTGAATTATATCTCAAAGAGGCTTCCAGCTTTGACAAATTTAAACCATTTTATTCAAAATAAATGAGGTTTGCATAAAATGTACTATTTTAAAATGCTGAATGAGTACTTTGAAAGGGGTTACTACTGTGAAAAGGTGCTGAAATAAAGCTGGACGGAACAAATTGTGACTGAGACCAGATGC